ACCTCCCACATATCTGGGATTACAATCATGCACTAGCACGCCTGGCTAATTTTGTATTTTTAGTAGAGACGGGTTTTCTCCATGTTGGTCAGGCTGGTCTCGAACTCCTGACCTCAGGTGATCTGCCTGCCTTGGCCTCCCAAAGTACTGGGATTACAGGCATGAGCCATCGTACCTGGCCACTTATTTTTTTTTAGACAGAGTCTCACTCTGTTACCTAGGCTGGAGTGCTGTGGCACTGTGGCACTGTGATATCTTGCTGCAGCCTTGAACTCCTTGGGCTCCTACTTTAGGTACATGCCACCACACCCAACTAATATTTTGTATTTGTTGTAGAGATGGGGGATCTCACTATATTGCCCAAGCTGATCTCAAACTCCTGGGCTGAAGTGATCCTCCTGCCTCAGCTTCCCAAAGGGCTGAGATTGGCAGTGTGAGACACTATGCCTGGTGGCTTTGTTTTTTCAAAATAAATAACTTTCTCGGATGGAAGAGGCTTAATGAAAATAAATAAGTAAATGGCTATTTTTGCTTTCCATAAGCAAATGAAATACAGTTGTTAAGGACTAGCAAATTAGGTAAGTGTGAATGGAATAAGCATCTACAAATAAACTTGTCATAGTTTCAAAAATCTTTTCAGTAATTTAAAATCATAAAGTCATGTTATATTAAATTAGGTAACAGATGATTATAAATTGTCTTGAGCTGGCTGAGCACAGTGGCTCATGCCTCTAATCCCAGCCCTTTGGGAGACTGAGATGGGAGGATCGTTTGAGCCCCAGGCAACATAGTGAGACCCCATCTCTAAAAAAAAAAGTAAAATGTTTGAGTTATTTCTAAGTTAGTGAGTGAAAATACTGAAACATTAATTATTAAACGTAAGTTTAAGTTTATATATTTTGATGTCTTTTTTTTTTCACTTTTTTCCACTTATTGTCAAGTTCTGTTTGTTTTTAATTTTTGATGTCTTGCTTCATATGATATAGACAACTAAATATGTTTGGATCCACTGATCAACAACAAATTAACAAACTGAGAAAACGTATTTTTAGAAATTATTACATGGCTCTTGTCTGCAAACACTGATATAAAAAAATTCAAAATCACTGACTTCCTGGGTTTTCACTAGAAACTAATGTTACTAAGAGTTAAAATTCAAATTAATATATGTAATTAAAATTACTAAAAGTAAGAAATAATTTTACATAGTAAGAGCAACATATATTTTTAGTGAAGAAAAGTTAAGTCATGAGGATATATTCTTTTTTTTTTTGGTGCCAGAGTTTTGCTCTTGTTTCCCAGGCTGGAGTGCAATGGCGCGATCTCGGCTCACCACAACCTCCGCCTTCTGGGTTTAAGCAATTCTCCTGCCTCAGCCTCCTGAGTAGCTGGGACTACAGGCATGCACCACCATGCCCAGCTAATTTTTGTATTTTTAGTAGAGACGAGGTTTCACCATGTGATCCACCCTCCTCAGCCTCCCAAAGTGCTGGGATTATAGGCATGAGCCACTGTGCCCAGCCGATACATTCTTTTGTTAAAAAATGTTTGTTTCTAACCACTGAAACAATAGCAACAACAACAAAAAAGAAAAACATTTGACTAACTAAAGGATATGTAAAGGTTGTTTTACAATAAATATGTGGCACTTTGGGAGGCCAAGGTGGGGGGATCACCTGAGCTCAGGAGTTCAAGACCAGCCTGGCCAACATGGTGAAATCCTGTCTCTATTAAAAATATATATAAAAAAAAGATTAGCTGGGCATGATGGTATGTGCCTGGAGTCCCAGCTACTCAAGAAGCTGAGGTAGGAGTATCACTTGAACCCAGGAGGCAAAGGTTGCAGTGAGCCAAGATTGCACCACTGTACTCCAGTCTGGGCCACAGAGTGAGACTCTGTCACACACACACACACACAAGCCGGGCATGGTGGCTCACACCTGTAATCCCAGCACTTTGGAAGGTTGAGGTGGGTCTATCAGGAGGTCAGGAGATTGAGACTATCCTAGCTAACATGATGCACTCCATCTCTACTAAAAATACAAAAAATTAGTCAGGTGTGGTGGCACACACCTGTATTCCCAGCTACTCAGGAGGCTGAAGCAGGAGAATTGCTTGAACCCCAGAAGCAGAGGTTGCAGTGAGCCAAGATCGAGCCATTGCACCTCAGCCTGGGTGATAGAGCAGGACTCCATCTCAAAAAAAAAAGCGAACAAATGTATGGAAAATGTTATACACAAAAATAAATGGATATAAAAAGTTGGAGAAAAAAATTTAAAAACTAAGAGGTTATAAAAGGCTTATGGAATTCTTTTTTTTTTTTTGAGACGGAGTTTCGCTCTTGTTACCCAGGCTGGAGTGCAATGGCGCGATCTCGGCTCACCGCAACCTCCACTTCTTGAGTTCAAACAATTCTCCTGCCTCAGCCTCCCGAGTAGCTGGGACTACAGGCACGCGCCACCATGCCCAGCTAATTTTTTTTTGTATTTTTAGTAGAGATGGGGTTTCACCATGTTGACCAGGATGATCTCGATTTCTTGACCTCGTGATCCACCCGCCTCGGCCTCCCAAAGTGCTGGGATTACAGTCTTGGGCCACCGCGCCTGGCCCGCTTATGGAATTCTTATGTAGTCAAAGCTGACTGAGACTGGATCTATTTGTTTATAAGGTTATTATTAATATTTATTTATTCATTGTATTTTTTTTAAGAGACAGGGTCTTGATCTGTGACCCAGGTTGGAGTATTGTTGTGTAGTCATAGCTCATTTGCAATCTCAAATTTCTGGGCTTAAGCATTCCTCTTGCATCAATTTCCCAAGTGGCTAGGACTACAGGTATGTGCCACCATGCCTGGCTAATTAAAAAAATTTTGTTTTGTAGAGATGGGGGTCTCACTCAATGTGTTGTCCAGGCTGGTCTTGCACACCTGGCCTCAAATGATCTTCCCACCTTGGCCTCCCAGAGTGTTGGGATTATAGGTGTGAACCACCATGCCTGGCCATATGATTTTATTGAAATTTGCTTTAGTATTAGTAATACACTGATACAAATGTAAGATTTGATTCTCTCATTTGAACATGATTTTCTGGTAGTACTTTTTTTTTTTTTGAGATGGAGTTGCCCAGGCTGGAGTGCAGTGGCCTGGTCTTGGCTCACTGCAACTTCCACTTCCCAGGTTCAAGTGATTCTCCTCCTCAGCCTCCTGAGCAGCTGGGATTACAGGCATCTGCTACCACATTTGGCTAATTTTTGTACTTTTAGTAGAGACAGGGGTCTCACCATGTTGACCAGGCTGGTCTCGAACTCCTGACCTCATGATCCACCTGCCTCAGCCTCCCAAAGTGCTGGGATTACAGGTGTGAACTACCACACCTGGCCTTCTGGTAGTATTAATAAAAGATAGTAAGCCAGTCACAGTGATTCACGCCTGTTATTCTAGCACTTTGGGAGGCCAAGGCAGAAAAATTGCTTGAGCCCAGGAGTTCAAGAGCAGACTAGGCAACACAGCAAAACCCTGTCTCTACCAAAAATACAAAAATTAGCTGGGCATGTTGGTTCATACCTGTAGTCCTAGCAGGCAGTACACTCTCGTCCTCAGTCTGGAGACTGAGGTGGGAGGATAGTTTAAGCCTGGGAGGCTGACGTTGCCGTGAGCTGAGATCATACCATTGCACTCCAGCTTAAGTGATAGAACCAGAACTTGTCTCAAAAGATAAAAGAAAATAAAATATGGTAAAAGATTTTGTTCACTTTTTGAGTATATTGCAAAAGAAAGAGGAGAGAGAGAAACTGATTGTGTGCCTCATGCTGTTTAAAATATTAAAAAAAATTTTTTTTGAGACAGGGTCTCACTCTGTTGCCCAGGCTGGAGTGCAGTGGTGTGATCTTGGCTCACTGCAACCTTCGCCTCCTGGGTTCAAGCGATTCTCCCACCTCAGCCTCCCGAGTAGCTGGAACTACAGGTGCACACCACCATGCCCAGCTAATTTTCATATTTTTTGGTAGAGATCAGATTTCATCATGCTGACGAGACTGGCCTGGAACTCCTAATCTCAAGTGATCTGCCTGCCTCAGCCTCCCAAAAGTCTGGGATTACAGGCATGACCCATTGCACCTGGCCTGATAAATTTTTTTTTGTTGTTTTTGAGACAGAGTTTTGCTCTTGTTACCCAGGCTGGAGTGCAATGGTGTGATCTCGGTTCACCACAACCTCCGCCTCCTGGGTTCAGGCAATTCTTCTGCCTCAGCCTCCCGAGTAGCTGGGATTACAGGCACGCGCCACCATGCCCAGCTAATTTTTTGTATTTTTAGTAGAGACGGGTTTCATTATGTTGACCAGGATGGTCTCGATCTCTTGACCTCATGATCCACCCACCTCAGCTTCCCAAAGTGCTGGGATTACAGGCGTGAGCCACCATGCCCCGCCTAAATTTTTTAATTAAAAAAGCCCAGACTGGCTGGGCACAGTGGCTCACGCCTGTAATCTCAGCACTTTGGGAGGCCAGGGCAGGCAGATCACAAGGTCAAGAGATTGAGACCATCCTGGCCAACATGGTGAAACCCTGTCTCTACTAAAAATACAAAGTATTACCCGGTCATGGTGGTGCACACCTATAGTCCCAGTTACTCGGGAGTCTGAGGCAGGAGAATTGCTTGAAACCGGAAAATGGAAGTTGCAGTAAGCCAAGATTGTGCCACTGCACTCCAACCTGGTGATAGAGTGAGACTCTGTCTCAAAAACAAACAAACAAACAACAACAACAAAACGCCCAGGCTGGAGTGCATTGGCTATTCACAGGTGCAACCATAATAGCCCGCTGCAGCCTTGAACTCCTGAGCTGAAGTGATCCTCCCACCTCAGCCTCCTGAGTACCTGGGATTACAGGCACAGACCACTGGATCTGGCCCTGCTCTCTTTGTTAGATCTTTTCATTATTTGGAAAACCGAGTCTTCTCTCTATCAAAAAGTGAGGGATTTTGCTTTATAAAATCTTTAAAAAAAAACTATGGAATGCTTCACAAATTTGTGTGTCATTCTTGTGCAGGCACCATGCTAATCTTCTTTGAATCATTTCGGCTTTAGTATTTGTGCCGCTGAAATGAGCACTGCTTTGTAAAATTTTTTAAATTATCACTTTGGCTAAATGAATGACTGATATTTTACAGTGATCTTTTCTTATTTTGATAAAATGTTTTAAAACTTTCCTAATTTGTTTTCATTAAAAAATTTTTTTTGAGACACTGTCTCACTCTCATCCAGGCTGGAGTGTAGTGGTGCAGTCATTGCTCACTGCAGCCTTGATCTCCTGGGCTCAAGCAGTCCTCCCACCTCAGTGTCCCAAGTATCTGGGACCACAAGCACACACCACCAACGCCTGGCTAAGTTTTAAAAAATATTCTGTAGAGACAGTATCTCCCTATGTTGCCCAGGCTGTTCTCAAACTCCAGGGCTCAAGTGATCTTTCACCTTGGCCTTCCAAAGTGCTGGGATTACAGGTTTGAGCCACTGACCCCGGACTTTTCTATTTTAATTGAGTGTTTTTATCCTTTGACATACTTGACAGGCTTCCCAAAATCAAATTTCAAATTCTAAATTAAGTCTTTTTGGCCTCAAACTAATCTTAGTTTATCCCAGAATGGCCCTGGAAGTCTAAGAAAGACATATTAGGCTTATTTGATACATAAATTATATGGAAAACCTTCTTTGCATTACATTTACATGAACATATTATTAATATGTGTTTACAAAGTATATGAGATTCCTAAGAATCTGATGTGTCTTTGTATATGTTTTCAATCATAATTATGGCCACTAAGTAAAACTGTTATAGATTACAGAAAAAAGCAAATTTCCTTGTCAATTGCATTATTGTTGTAAACTTTTACCAGGTCTTTCACCACAGCCATTCTAAATCTTCTTGTTCATAGTAAATTGCTTTATTCTGATGTTTCTTCTAAATGATCTTTGCAAGCAAATATAACCCTAAAGCATTGTGTCTTCAAAGAGGTTTATGAAAAGCATAAAAAGTCTCTGTTACATACTCTGCAATACAGGCCTCTGTTGATTATTCAGTTGGACTGAATAAGAACTTTAAAAACTGCAGTGGTGAAACTGGACTTAAAATGTCTCATTTATCAAGTAGAACAAAAATTAATTACATGGGACTAATGAGGACAGAAATGGTTTTAATGACTTTTTTGATTGAAAGTTTGCTGACATTTTAATTTTTTTTCTTTCATAGTTAAGAAAACTTTTTTCTCTGCATTATCTGTAGTTTTACAGCAATTTGGTAACTTTTTGGTATATTTTGTGAGTAAAATTTACCTTTTTCTCTACCTGATAACTCCAGAATTAGGAAACTATTCATGTGTATTCTTATTTTATGACAATATATTTATTTGTATAAGCTCAAGAGGAATCTGTTTTTGTAAAAGAACACACTTTTGGAAACATTGGCTATTAAAAAGATGTACATTGGCAAGGTGTGGTGGCTCACTCCTGTAATCCTAGCACATCTAGAGGCCAAGGCAGGAGGACTGCTTGAGGCCAGGAGTTCAAGACCAACCTGGCCAACATAGTGAGACTTTCTTTTTAAAATAAAATTATTTTTAAAAGTGAAAAAAAAAAAGATGTACATTGTATCAGTCAGGTTTCAAAGTGGGAAGGAGAACCAGTAAGAGATAATATATATCATCTATATCCATATATAGATATATGTGTGTGTATGTGTGTGTGTATATATATAAAAATTTTTTTTGTTTTACAAAGAATTGGCTTATGCAATGGAAGGGGCTGGCTAAGCAAGTCCAAGGTCTGTAGGGCAGGCTGTCAGGAAGGGAAGAATTAGAAAATTGAGAGCAGTTGTAGATCCAGCTGCTCTTTGGAGTTTGACTCAGAGCATGCCTTTTTATTATTTTTTAAATTTTAAATTTTTAAAAATAGGCATGGCGTTATACCATGTTGCCCAGGCTGCTCTCAAACTCCTGGGCTCAAGCAAGCTGCCTGGCTTGGCCTCCTAATGTGCTGGGATTACAGGTTTGATCCACTTTGCCAGGCCTAAATCTTTTTAAAAGGATTTCTACTGATTGAATCAGGCTCACCCAGGATAATCTCCTTAGACCAATGTCAGTTGTCCACCAGGGACTTGAATTATATCTGTAATCTCTTCACAGCAGCCCTAGATTAGTGTTGGATTGAATGACTGGGAGGAGGTGGATATATCATACATAAGATTGCTGCCTTCTTTTTAGTCCTTCTAGTTTAGCCTAACCAAATTGATGTTCATGCCAGATATAGTAACTCAGCCTGTAATCCCAACACTTTTAGGAAGCTGAAGCAGGAGGATTGCTTGAGCCTGGGAGTTTGAGACAAGCTTGGGCAACATAGTGAGACACTGTCCCAACAAAATATTTTTAAGAATTATCCAATGTCTTGGTGTGCACCTGTAGTCCCAGCTACTCAGGAGGCTGAGGTGGGAGGATCCCATGAGCCCAGGAACTTGAGGATGCAGTGAGCTATTGCAGTAGTCTCAGCAATGCAAGATGTAACAGTTTCTCAGGCCTGGCATGGTGGCTCATGCCTGTAATCCCAGCACTTTGGGAAGCTGAGGCAGGTGGATCAAGATGTCAGGAGTTTGAGACCAGCCTGACCAACATGGTGAAACCCCATCTCTACTAAAAATACAGAAATTAGCTGGGCCTGGTGGCATGTGCCTGTAATCCCAGCTATTTGGGAGGCTGAGGCAGGATAATCGCTTGAACCCGGCAGGCGGAGGTTGCAGTGAGCCGACATCAGGCCACTGCTCTCCAGCCTGGGTGACAGAGCGAGACTCTATCTCAAAGAAAAACAGTTTCTGGTTGTCTGAGATAACTGGGATTCTTTGTCCTACGTCCAAGACAAGTAAGTAGGGCAGACCCCAAGGTGAGTTTAGAGTGCTGGGCGCGGTGGCTCACACCTGTAATCCAAGCACTTTGGAGGCCAAGGCAGGCGGATTACCTGAGGTCGGGAGTTCAAGACCAGCCTGACCAACATGGTGAAACCCGTCTTAAAAATATATATATATTTTAAAAAAATAGAGTGAAAGTTTAATAGTGAAAGAAGAAAACTCTCTGCCAACAGAGAGGGGCGCCTGAATGGGGTGCTCCCTGTGAGGCTGGGGTCCAGGGCTTTTATGGACTGGGAAGGGGAAGAAATGTGCTTCATGCCCCCCACTCCCCTTCCCAGGGGCCTTAGCCTGGGACTAATCAGGTGCTGAAACGATGATTCATAGATGCTGCCTAGTTTGGCCCAGGACCTATCAAGAGCTAAAGTGAAAGCTTGGCCCTGGAGCTTGGCCCAGGACCAATCAGCAGCTGAAGCGATGATTCATAGAAGCCCAATTTACAATCCAAATAACGGAAAGTAGAGTGCCCACCGGAACCTACTGGACCATACTGTGCCCACGCCCACAAAAGGAGAAGAAACTTTTTTCTTCCCGGGAGCCCATGGACTATACAAAGACAAAGGCATTTCTGTGCCAGGCCTTGTTCCTTTATGCGAGTGAGAAGGTCGGTGCAAGTTTTTGTCTAAATGGGCTGGAGGTTTTTCTATCTGTGCAGTCGTGGGCATATCTCCAGACACAAAACCCTATGCTAGTTCCCTTATCAGTGCCTGCAGCTTGATTTTTTTCCCCCCAGGCTGCTTTTTATGTTATGTGGGGATGAGGCACTGACCCATGGGCTGGGGTTTCTCAGGGGACCCTTCCCTTGCTATCTACCTAAGGCAAAAGCTAGCTGATTCCTTTCACTATGATGGTGCCGCTGCACTCCAGCCTGGGTGACAGAGCGAGACCCTGCCTATAAAAAATAAACGCTAATAAATTGACATTTTAAAAAACTGTCTAATCTGTTATAGGATTAGAATTTAAACAACAAAAGGTCACATATTTATACAAGTATTTTATTTTCTACAGAAAGATAGTTTGCTTTTACGAATTACCCAGAAGTTTTAACTTGTTCATTCGCTCACTTAAATGACATTTTAGAGCACCTACTGTGAGACAGACACGAGTGTTGCCTATACTTTCGTTAAAACAACAAAAAATTGGCCAGGCGCAGTGGCTCATGCCTGTAATCCCAGCACTTTAGGAGGCCGAGGCGGGTGGATCACGAGGTCAAATGATTGAGACTATCCTGGTCAACATGGTGAAACCCTGTCTCTACTAAAAATACAAAAATTAGCTGGGCATGGTGGCGTGTGCCTGTAATCCCAGCTACTCAGGAGGCTGAGGCAGGAGAATTGCCTGAACCCAGGAGGCGGAGGTTGCGGTGAACCGAGATCGCGACATTGCACTCCAGCCTTGGTAACAAAAGCAAAACTCCGTCTCAAAAAAAAAAAAAAAAAAAAAAAATTATGTAGTGAGTGACAGAGAGAGGGTGCTCAAATATTTGTTGAATGAATATGCTATTTTTTTTAAGTCTCATGAGATCTAAGAATGAATATGCTATTAACAAACCAGCAGGATTTATTCACTTCCCTAATTTTGACACAATATTCTTGTAGGCTATTACAGTTTAGTTGTGCAGCTTCAAATAGCAAAATTTCACATCTTTCTCCCAGCGAACTAAATTCACACACCTTAACCTGTTTGATTTTGCCAAAGAATTCCTGGAAGTGCTGTGTCAACAAATAGCAAATCTTGAAGCAAGATAAATTATATTGCTAATTAGTTACAATATTTACAGGATGTCACTAGGGACACTTGAAGACTTGATTCTCTTGCTGAGTGTTTCCATAAATCTATTTTCCAACAGATCTATATTTCCAGTCTTGCAGTTTTCCACAATTTGAAGATCCTGATTTCCTGGTACCCTTCCAAGGAAAGCCAGTTAAGTTTTAAAAAAAAACACACACACACAACAAAAAAACTCACACACTATTTACTAAAGTAATGAATTTTTGTTGTGACAGGTAATCCTAATCCTTCCCAGTTCGGCAACTGCCTCTCCAAGCAACCTTCACCCGGCCCTACAGGCTGGGGCCTCCACAGTTTCCATAGCGACGACGTTGTTTCCACTCGCCCTTCTCCAGCTACGCGTCTGACAGCCGCTGGCTTTCGGGAGGTTTCG